GCACGGCGCACCGCAGAAGTGCGCTGCAAGTATGCTAATTACTAATTACTAATATTTCTTTTTCTTTTTCATCTCGCGATGATTTTTTTTTTTTCCCTGCCAAAAGATCCACAAAATGAGAAATAAAAATACTCCCTCAAGTTAAGGAAGACTTTACGTTCCCTAAGTTGATGAAGATTCTACTCAAGTATATTGATTACCTATTAATCTTTTTTATCATTTTCCCTAGGTTGATGATGAAGATTCTACTCAAGTATATTGATTACCTATTAATCTTTTTTATCATTTTCCCTAAGTTGATGAAGATTCTACTCAAGTTATATTGATTACCTATTAATCTTTTTTATCATTTTATATTAATTTCCTGACCACCATGCACTTTCGACAGAAAGATGAAGTGAGATGCAATTAAAGTTATTAACACCCACACCTCCACCCACACCTCCACCCACACCCCCACACCCACACCCATACCCACACCCACACCCATGCCCCCACCCACCCCCATGCCCACACCCACATGCACACCCATACCTTAAGAGTTGGGACTCTTGAGAGTTGTCATGCCACATCCTACACCGTGAATTCTATCTACTAAACTTACCACTGAACATTAGAATTTGATTAATTAAATTTATCTTTTTTTCCATCCATAATATTCTCTGACATGGAGGGCTTGCTGAGTACAGCTCAAATCCGCTGAGAAACTTTTGAGGATGGGGGGTGGGGGTGTATGAGGGTATTGTGGGGGTGGGTATGGGGTTGTTGGTGGGGTTACTGGGGGTTCTGGAACCACCAAAAAAAATAATAATAATAAAATCTGTCTTTTTTTTCACGGGGTGCCGCCGACCTTCGACCGGTAGTTGCCAACCAGGCCACTGGTCACCCGACCAGTCAAGGTGCCCCTACCGTCGGGTCATGCAACACTGGTCTCAAACAATTTCCATGGAATTCCCTTTGCTCTCTTTCTCTCTCTCTCTCTCTCCCTATGCTTTCATCCCTCTTTCTTTCACTCTCTTTCACACTGTTTCTCTCTTTTTTCTCTCTCTCAGTCCCTCTCTCTCCGGTAAGGAGTGAGAGGCGATGAGGAGGAGGAAGGGAAGTAGGCAGAATTAGGGGAGGAGACTGTGTGGATGGTGAATGCCAATATGGCTGAATGTAGGGGGGATGGAGGAGGGAGGAGG